TGGCGTCGCCAATTGGTGGGGTACTCCGTGCAGGGTTCTGGTCTGACGCAAAATGTGTAGCGTTTTTGAAGGATCCGAAAACAGGTACCCACGTGACACTCAATGGTATTGTTTTTTATGATGAAGGCCTCAAGTACAGATTTCTTTACGAGATGCATGATATGGCTCCCTCAGAGAAGAAATGACATGCTGCTTGGAGATTGCTATGCACTCAAAATCTAATATGTATAATTGGTTATGCACATATATGCACACGTGCTAAACGTGTTGCCTTCCTGCATGCGCCGGCGCCCTTGGTCAGCCAGCTAAAATTGGTTTTTTGCTGTCAGTCATAAGTTTGAACTTAACACTCGGTCTTCTCCAAGATTCTTTCGATAATATGGTCACTATGGTCTTTGTGGGTCATTATAGGAAAATTTCTCATCCGCTACTGTCAGCGATGCAATAACAATTGGGATACAGCTAAGCTGTTCCTCTGTATTTCATTCCGCCAACACGGCTTACCCGTAACAATCATCGGACAGAACTCCGCGCATTTTAGCAAGGTTTTGGAAAACTTAGCTGAAGGGTTAAAAGTCGAATTGGCCGTACCAGCAACTTACCATCTCCGAAAAATTGGTCGAAAGGAGCACGTCAATGTAGTGATGGCGAATATTCTTTGAGGCACTGTCGCGGTGAGACCGCAGTGCTGAGGTAGATTGCTCCCACTAATTGATTTTGCGTCAGATAGCGCAGTGCATATCACTACGGTTCTAAGCGCACTTTACTAATATTATGCTGAATCCATATGACCCATTGGCATCACTACAACGTGGCTCTCATATTAGTGAGGAGAGCTGTCGATCGAATCCTACTTTTAATACAAGCCCGATTATACTTCATAGCAAGTAAAATGGATTCGCCCAAATGAGCGTGAGCGTCACGCGTCGGTTGCGTGTTGCTAAGACCGAGGACAAGAATGGTCAAAAGAAAACACGGATGCCAGAGACGGGCAAACGCAACTGAGTACATATCGGGTGATTTTTCACTTTACATAGTGTATTAGCCTACGCTTCCTGTGCCTTGGTTTATAAGATTAAGTTGAAACAACGTATCCTCGGACCACTTACAGTTACAGTGAATTTACGATTATGCTCTACTCTTATCAACTCTAAGAGAATATAGGCACATCTCGTTATCAAAATGAGCTTACTTTAGCCTATCATCCAAATTTTACGAGCTAGTTCGATGACAAGCACTTTGTTGTAGACCTGGTAGCGTATATACCTTTTTCTGTAAACTAGCTCATTGCGGCTGAGCTACATCGGCTCGAAAACAGCGACGGTGTCGTGAATATTTAAGAAGTTTTAAGCCTCGAAATGTGATGGATAGGCCTACAGAATATCTCATTTTAGCTCCGGAGATACACAGAGATGTGCAGAGTAGGCTGACGTCCCGGCGCAACCGAGATGAGACAGCTTATGATGAGTGCCATCCTTCACTGATGCTGCTCAATGCACAAGTGCTGGCTTACCATTGCGTTAAGCGAGAAATGGGACGACGAGTACACCAGAGCTTTATTCGGTATCTGAAACCCAACATCGGCACAATTGTCCTGGCTTCGCTGTCGTTTACAATCTAGTGTATCGTTGGCCTTCCTCGCCGCAAGGTAACTCGGCGTAGCGTCTTTCCAACTCGACTTTAATGTGCGTCTGAGACTTAGTCTGTAGCTGTATTAGATGCGTTGTGAAATGCTGCAAGTCTGCTAACAGCACGGTCTGTGAAGGATGGGTCTCCACTCGAATATTGCTTGGTGCTTTATATTTCGCAAAATCAAGCATTTATTAACTTCATAGCTCGATATTTGCTTTCGCATTTCTAAGCTGGTTAGCCAAGATTCCACATGGGTGAAACGATGTGTTTCCCTCTATCAGTGCACCAATTGAGGGCGATTGTTATTTGCATGATTGTCAGCGTACTGCTCAAACGGTACGCCATTAGTGAATGTTAAGAGACTTCTGCTCGAATCGTAGGCAACACCGCTAAAAGGTGATGACATATGGGGTATAAATGCTTGTGCGGAGCAACATTCTGGCTCTCCCTCTGTCCTTGGTGTGGGCGAATAGGCGTGTATGGATATTACGCCCCGGCGCAGCGAGCGAATTTAGACAGTTAAGATCCATAGCCTCGATGTAATGAATTCGGTGAGAACCGGCGCGATAGTTGCACTTCGTGGCGAGCAATTCTTCGCGAGCTCCACAGTGATATATGGCAAGGCTTCGTGCTGTGGGGAAACAGCCCAGACGTACTGTGAAATATGAACTTGTGACATTGAGCGATATTGCACTTTACTTTTGTGTAACTGTAAGTGATTCATAAGGCTCGCAAACACAGCATTTATGACGAGAATAAAACTGCTTAAAGAAGAGGTCCATGGTACATGGGAGCTGCTAGCCGCACGTCGTGAAATAAAGGCAGTCATAATGAGACGTGATATTAGAGCGAGTAGAGGCTCTCGGTTCCGTATCTGGTTCAAGTGTGCGAACCCATCCTGTGCATTTGTAACGCAAACTCTTTGGAAAGTAGCTTCCTCTGTATACAATACACGACAACCGCGTCGAAGGAAGCCCAGTTGCAATATTTTATCAGCATCTGCGGTTGGATCAGCCATGTAAAACTTCAAAGCTAGTAATAAATATAATCTGTAACAATCTAGCACAGAGTTGAAAAATTCTCAGATTTATTACAGCTGTAAATTTGTATGTGCATTTTTTCTACCTATGGCATTTCTTTGTTTATAATTTTGTTTGGTGTTTAACCTAGCCGGATGATCTACCAAAATACGATAACTTGTTATAAAGCAGAATATATTGATCAAGTATCCAAGTTTGCCAACTGTGTTGATGTATGCCTTTCGGTCCAAACAATGCGCTGCCTAAAATCTCAATCGTGACGACACGGATAGATGATTCTTTCCGTGCAGCGTACGAGGCAGGCAGACTCAGCTCATATTGAGCAAATGAATGCGTCCAGTCATACTGGCATCGTAATTGTTGTAAGCCAAATACTTAATTTGTTGCCGTCAACCTCATCATCCCTTCCTCAACAAACTTTATTGGTGATAAGGCTAGTTCTTTTGGATTGAGATCCACTTGTCACAGCAAATTATGGCAAACTTTATTTTAGGTGCTTATCACCAGGTTGGACGTGCTTACAGCTGGTTGTCCAAAGACCGATGACATAACGATGCTGATTCAAGCCTTATTCCAAGTGAGACCCTTGGCCAGTTGCGTGGCAGTATGCTTATTAATATAAGCAGGATTGTTGTTAGCACGGACTTAGGAGCGTGCTAGCATCGGCGTCAAAGTCGAGCTTTTGTACATCTCAATACAGAGCATTGGTCGACATTCTTGGCCAGCGTACGCTCCATCAAACTTGCTGGTACACCCATAGTCATGGTAGATACAGCTAGCTTTCTTCCATTCGTGCCCGTAAAGATGTCAATTTTGAAAGGGTGGTATATGACACTTTGACTAAAATTCGTTAGGAACCATACGGATTTGACTTCAAGCGTTAAAGGTGCTCTTCAAGTTAGTGTGAGATATGTTCAACGGGAGTTCACGTCTTGGTGGGGGAGTGTAGTGCCTGCTAGTAGAGATGTACACAATACAGAATTGCTCTTCGGACTCAGGTTAAAGCTCAAAAGTACCGTGGTGAAGTACCATGACGTAAATCAATGACAAAAAAATGACAAGTGTATCCCGTACAAGACGGTCTCTAACCACCACATTCAGCAAAAACTACAAGGATCTTTGAGGATCGCCATTTTACTCCTCGCTTGCAGTGCTTCGCAAGTGTTCTCGATACCGGACTCGTCCATGCAAAATGGCGATTTCGGTATTGATCGAATTAATTCGATGTTACACTGCTCGCAACACTATGTTTAGATCCCTCGAGATGTTCCGTCAAGCGCAAACAGAGCTTTGACTTTGGACAGGATAGATATGATGTATTTTCTAAGATTACCTTGATCACTTCTTCATAAGTCTACGCACGTTCTCGTTACAAACCTATGAAGTTTCACTGCTTCGCTCATCTGGCTAGTCACATGAAACTGCCGAGTCATCAGTACCGTTTCATCATGACAAGACAAAGCCATCCTCAAACAATTCAAGGTCCTGAGATTGCTACTTGTAGGCTTTAGTCCCTTTCTTAAATTTTGGAGACTGCAAAATAGTCGCATTTTCTCGTCTGAACCGTATAAAATAGATGTAGTTGAAGAAAATGCAAATATGTCGGTCCATCCAAAAATACTTCGCTACATTCAGACAGAATTTCGCTGTAAAGATTACACGGAGTTGGTGGCGTGTACATCAGCCATTCAACCTCCGATTTTGACATAGAAGAATATAAAATAGTGCTCTGTATTTTAACAGGATATTTACTTTCATAATTTCAATCTTATTGCCACCTCAACCTTGAGAAGCTGCGTCCTGATATAATGTCCATTCAAGAGTATACTGTTTAATAGGGTTCAAGTGCACTTAATTGGAATATGACACAAAATTGTGCAATTGTCACAAATACGCAGCAGCTTTAGTTTTCCGTGCAAAAGATTTGCTCGTATCACGCCAATTGTATCCTCTTTATATAAAATATGATACCAGAATTCGAGAATGGCTACATCTCATACTCTCATTCTGTACACCATAGCCCTAACCGTAAGCCTAAAAACGTGAATACTCTTCAAATCTGTGATGTAGCAATATCATTTTTGTTGCTCGTCGTTCTTGGATCAAGGTCTCATACGAATTGAATGCGGGGTAATGTCCAGTCGAATGGTGCTATAGCTAGGCTAATGGATAGCTGATTTGATATTTTCTGGGGCACAAGTTTTCGGTCCTAATTCTCTGTTGGTGGACTGGATACAGGTGGTGTGAAGAGCGACACATGTATCAATGAAAGGAGCATGAATCGGAACTTTTTTTCAAACATTTGATACCAAAGATGGAAGTCATTACGTAAAAGTGTTCCTCCTTGCTCAATCCTGAACGATACTTCAGCCTATTCGTACGTAATGAAGTTGTTTCGTGCCGTCTTGCTCAATGCTTTCGTGCTGTTCTCGAAAGCTGATCTTGCTGCCACGACCAAGGAATCCCAATTAATGTCGATTGTTGATTCTAATTCTTCTCTTCACACCGAGTTTCTAAGATCTCATACAAAAAAACGAAGAGAGGGTTGCATCGCCAATTTTTCAAGTAAAGGATCTTGGACGACTCGGTAAGATTGTGGATAAGTTTAAAAAACTGACGCAGAGCCAAAAGCTCGAGAGATGCAAAAATCAGCTTGTTGGGATCACTGAACTTCTGCCTGCTTTCAAAAAGCTAGGAATCAATGAAGACAAGTTTAGTGGTCACCATATCGGCTTCGTTTCGATCCGCCTTTTTACAAGTCCCGAGTATTCAGCGATTTTTGACCTCGCAATCAAGCTATACAACGATGATGCCCAAAAAATGATAGCACACGCTTTAAAGCAGATATTTCCCGGGCGGACACAAAGCTTGATTAATTCCGCAACATACTCAAAAAACAAACAAATGGAGCAATTGAGGTCGCAACGACTCATCCCGGAGTCGAATCCGTGAAGGTGAGCTACAGTGAAGTATTGCAAGAGAGTTTGTAGCTTCAGAAATACTAGTAGCGAATAATACATAAGTATATCATGTGTACATGTTTATTTTCGATGCTTGTATAAAAGAATCGGCTGCTCAAGGGACATATTGTAATGGTAAGTGAGCGGACCACCAATGCTATTTCTTGAGAAAATATAGTAGATAGAAAATAAAGTAGTTGTGCGGAAGCTACGATCAGCTTATTTTTTTAACCTTTATGGTGAAACGCTATTCATTGAGCTTCGCTGGTTTTGCTCTTCATTATCTCATCACTTTTGGAAAAGCTCTTACGAAGAAGCCTGTGTAAACTGCCTTCGTTTTTTGTGATGTTTGATTGGGATAATAGTGATTAAGAAAATGCTCGAGAACATGCGGCTCATGGTGAGGGATACATTGGTCAAGCGAAAGAAACATGTATACCTTTTTTGCGTCTTTTCACATGATAATGGCCTTTTAGATCATTGTTTTGTTCAAAGGAGTACCCATTATATCTATAATGCAGTGTATACCATACAAGCACTGTCAAATTAGCATACAGATAAACCAAATAATTACGCGGTTAAATACATATTTTGTCAAAGTGGCCAATTAAGCGATGAAATGAGCACAATATACAAAATCACGTTGAGAATCAGCTGCTCCAAAGAATTTATGTGATGGTAATTTTTGAATTAAAATACTATTTTCAAAGAGTTGGCTTCTTTACTAGCTTGCTTTCATTCGCTCAAGATATTGGCAAGATTAGACCGCCGACATATTTCTCGTTGTACTATCCGATTTGCCTTTTTGAATAAGCAGGTTATACATGTAGTTGGCCTTGTATTTTGACATAACTACGGATTGTTGACCGTTATGGATGGGATTTGCCAGGAAACATGAACAGAATAAATGCGCATGAAAATCTTATATTTCAAACCGCTCAGATATGCAAAATTAAAACTTGATGAAATAATTCGAGTAGACCTCAGCAATCCAACCAACCCTTACGTCTTGATCTTCAGTAAATCATGGAGCGCTATGATGCGTGTCAACATTAAGCTTTAAGAAGTGGTAAGATAGTGCAGTCAAGAATTTAAATCTAAACTTGGATTTGATTTGAGGCGCGTAGTTGACCAAATTGATTGCAAATTGACTTTAAAAGAGTCGCACTACATTGATCACACCGCTTAATGTATGCTGAAGAGACAGATAGATGTATCAGTGTTATGCAGATGCTCTATCTGATAAATCTATCATATAAGAACTACGATTGCTTTGCGATATCTCAATAAAACGTCACCTATACACAGAATAGGGGGTTAAGAAATAGCAATCTTAAGAATCACTCCTACAGCTTTGACTTCGAAGACGAGGGAGAGGGTCGGCAAATTGCTAATTTATGAGAAGCCATTTGCTGTTTGAACTCATGAGAATACTACGATTGTACTCCCTTGGCTAAAAAATAGCCTTAACATCCATTTAGCAGAAGTGAAGAGCTTTTTCTTTGGAATCTAATTAAAAATTGACCAAAAAATAATTTGCAAATTACAAATTTCAAAGAATATTTATTAGTTATAAGCAAAATGGAATGGTGAGACGTTCCTTGACACACAAAATTATGTGATAGATGACGTCAAACTTATCAAGAGCTCACGATTCGATATACGTGCTTGTTAGCGTATTGTAACCCCTTTTGCCACATTATATGCGCAGTCTTACCGGGATGGTATAAATCAATACTGCGGATACGCTGAATGCTTGTAATTACGTAATCTGTCAATGGATTAAATTAATAATGACCCTTACACAAAATGACATTGTTATCGCGATTTCTGCCACGCCTTCTGACATTAAGAAAACAAATTACGTCTTTTATCATTTTCCAAGTAAAATAGCAATCGTCGAGCACAAAAAAATCAGGATCTGAATATCTCGTGACCACTTAGAAATGGGGTCGAAGCACTCGCGTCATTCGCAGTCATCGGACGACAATACTCAATTGTATACTAACAACCAGCAACCCGACGATGAAGTTTCCCCGGAAGCGCGTGCTGAGTTCACAGTTGATGACATTTACAGTCCAGAGAATACACGCCAAGCCCAAAGACTCCATCGAACTGATCACGATCGGTTCTGCAAGTTTCGTAATTATTTTAAAAATCATCACATGTCGTTAGCGAAAGAAGTTGGTCGTCAAACTAAGAAAAATAAAGCTCTGCTTTTGCACTGGATTGAAAGCGCTGTAGGTCCATTAGAAGATGGTGAAAGATTGACAAAGGACGAAATTCTTGAGATCGCCATGGTCTCAGCAGCTTTGACTGAGTACGGAGAGTCTGTGTTATCGAAAGTGTACGATCAAGGCAAGCTGGATGCATTGCCAAATTTACCTTTACATACGCACCATCTTCGCATGACTGCTAAACAACAGGCCTGTCGCGACGGCTCTGATGCTATTAACAAAGACAAACTAGAAGCAGCGCACTACATTGGATTAGAGGTAATGCTACGGCTGAACGAACGGCTGCCAGTTGAACAACGCATGGGTGAAGAACTTCGCAATATCCTCAATCACCCAACGAATCTCCGTCTTGTATTAGCGACAAGTAATCAAACTCTACATAAAAAGGTGGACACATTACTTATCAATGCAACAAATTTGTTGTTAGAGCCAAATTCAAAAACACCACGTAAACTTTCGGCACGAGAGTACGATCGACTAGTCCAAATTGCCAAACATGCACAGGATCACGTCTTTCAAGACGCAATGATTGCAGCAAACGGACATCATTTATACCTTAGCTTGCGCAATCAGTTTTTACGACTTGAAACTGACGATCGACCGAAACTTTGGGATGTGGAGAAAGACAAACGCGAGTTTCGATATACCCTTTCGTCTAGACATCGTTCACCATCCCCTGTGCCAAATTCATCGAGAACGTCACGGTCACCAGAGAAAAAACCAGAACCAACAAGTAAAGTGATGCAGAACAATCGTCACTCTTCTGCTTCACCTGAAATGCAACATCAAAGTACATTTTCTCGCTTTGCAGCGAAGATTTTTCGCTCTCGTACCAAGAAAAAGCATATTATCATCCGCACAACTTCAAAATCGACTTTTAACGCTGAAGACACAACCCAATCTGAAATTTCTGAAAAACGACGAGTAGGGAAAACCAAGAACGAAAAGAAGCTTATTGTGACAGCACATACAAAGCCTAAGAAAGGAAAAGCAGAGAACTCGAGACAGCATCGTCAACGAAACAAAGGAAAACGTCAACCTCACACGGTACCAAAAAAACAAGCAGCGAAATCAACGAAACCAGCAACAAAATCAATCTCTTCTTCAAATCAAGACATTGTTTCCGACAGTGGCGATAGTGACTATGTTGATATCGACTCGGATCAAGAAACAAATGATGAATGTATCATCCATGTTGGACCCCGTGGAGGCAAGTATTATATTAATGCAAGCGGAAAAAAAGTCTATGTCAAGTAAGAAATTCGATTCTTTTCGAACTTGCAAAATGAATAAAGTTGTAAATCTTTCATAGCAAATGTTTTCTCGACTTCATTAAATTGTTTCCTTGATCATATCAAACTTTTGCCTCAAACAGAACTTTCAACTTAAGTCTGAAAATTCTGAACTTTGGCTCTACATGTTAACTTGAATTTTTCACACAAATTGTCATGAAAAGACGTTTCTACTGTGTGGTCCACTTAGGATACAGTGTTGTACCTAAAATCAACAGTTTCCTCGTTTGCGAAAACGTGAGTTTCATTGGTAATTGACCTACTACAAGCCAAGAAGCATCTTTCACGCCTTTTGCATCCACAACTTGATTGAAGAACTGACATATGGCTTGATTTCTTCAACCCATGTTGAATTAGCGTGAGTTTGCAATACAAGACATAGGAGATATATGGTAGAAGTAGGTTTACAGATCAGGCAGGACGGTACCACGACTCGCAAATCACTCCGCTCAAGAATATTAATGCAACAGCGACCCTTCACGTATGTAATCACGGAGGATGTCTCGACAAATAATTCTTTATACGTATGTATACCTCGTATTTTAATTTCAAAGCAGGCAAGACGGTACTACGAATCCGCTCAGTACTGACAGGACGTAGGATAAATCGACAAATAGTTAATTTAGACTTCTCTCTCTTATAGAATGTTTGTTTCCATTACAGTATTTGTAGTTACACCCCGTTTTGTTAGAGAGTATGCGGAAAGCTCCTTTAATTTTTTAAATGTGTTTAGTTTCAAAAAGTATTGAAGATAAACGCGATCATGAACCAGAATGTTGCAGTTTCTCGATGATCATGGCTTCATGTAGCCGAAATCAAGCATAGTTGAAAGTTAAGCTCATTACCCATTCTTTCCCGACAAGAACTTGACCATGCATGTGATCATCATATATAAAACCTTCATTAAAAGAATACGAATACTTTAATCAAAGATCTGAATGCGATCTTGCAGCGAGACCTCTTCAACAAACTGTAGAATATTTACAATCTGAAAGGAGATAAGATCTGACCACCAGAAGCCGCGTGTTGCGTGGGCCAAAGCCAGCCCATCTCACAGGAACTGGCACGAGCTCACTTCAAGGTGGACTCTTACTCTTACCTTCACATTCTTTAAATTGCCACATAACGTCAAAGCAACTTCGTCACTTATGGTTCTTCAGCCGGAAGTCTTAAATCTCTGCGTTCAAATGCCGATCTCGTGTTCAAGTCATCCATGTGACCTTCGTATGCGCTCAGATCCTCGTCAACATTTATCAATGGACCTTCCCCCGGATGTTCGCGAGCTAAAGCAGCATATTCTCAAATCCCACCCGACCAAGCTACTTCGTTTTAGTATAATCCGCATGCGCTATATTGCCACACCACCGGTTCTCATTCCAAAAGCTTTGAATCATCAACGAGCCATGCGAACACTCGTGTCCGGTAAAACTGTACCACTTACTATGAATATGTGGGAAAATTGTAAGACAAAAAGAAATCGCTTGGATTTGATTCACGAATACGTTACGTATAGATGATAAAATGCATTGATGGCGTCGTTCATGATCCAATTTTACTTCACTAATACATGTAATCTTTCTTGTAACAATATCATCGAGTGTTAAGGAGAAAGGTTCTTGTACAGATGAGCATATACTTTTTTGCCGATGACATCTTTGTCCACTGATATCTTACTATTTATTGGAACATGTTGATTCCTGAACCTTAAGCTTCGACATGTACGATTAGCGAATTTCCTTTGTGGTGGAACCAGCTCTAGCTACGGTCGATAAAAAGGAAAAAGTAGCTGTTATAGTTCATGGATCGTAGCGACTTTATATTCCAGACTATCAACAGTATGCTGACAATTCAAGATCGCTAACAAATGCCTACGTACAGCATTTTATTCTTTTCTGAACCTCTGACTACACGTCAGACCAGCCAATCATCTTGGTAGAAGTTGCACTCATTTATTTCAAAGAAGATGCCGGCCGGCCTCATCACGCGCAGCGTCGTTGGAAATAAGCAGTTAGTCGTGCAGAATACAAAGTGCCTTGTTCTTGATCGTAATCATAACATTGGGACATACAATCGAATCACTGGACAGGTGGAATACGCTTAATACTGCGCTAGAAGCATACATGACACCTCAGATCAGATTCTGGCGAAGCTGTATCTTAGACGTTTGGTCTGCAGCTCGCATCATTGCGTTGACATTGCATGGAAGTATCACCAGACGCATGAAAACAAAAAAGAGGTTGTAGGATAACATATCACATTGCAATTGGGTACCAGGTTTTTCGAATCGAGACATAGACACGAGGACGGTAGTGTGAGCCCAGAATGGAGTTAGGCAAAAACTTCTCAGCTGTAAGGAAACACACTTTATTGTCTTGCATGTGTTAATGGCTAGAAAGTGTTTGCACCGTTCTTTCGTACCAATACCTGCATTAGAGTTCAAGGTAAGCAGGTTCTATAAAGTAGTTTGTAAGGTAGATTCATATAATCGATAATATATATTGCTTTGACGGAAAGACCTAAGAATGTATATGAAGGAGCTTGTGGTAGGCTACATGTAGCCTAGGAGATAGCAACAAATCATATAGTGATAGTGCAGTTTTAATGATATTTAGTCTGTTCAAAGTAAAATTTATACAATATGGAAGAGAATAAGCTCAGAATAGTTTCAAATATAACAATAAACGCAGAGAAGATAAATTATTAAAAATCAAATTTATATACACCAACCATACTCTTACCACTAATATCACAGTTAATTTTCAGAACATCTAATCCAATCATCGCTACCTCAATGCGTTGAAAAGAGCCGATCAAAGTTGTCAATTTTCCCATATATTCATCAAAATTTAATGATGCTACACTGATGGAATCTTGAGCCAATGAGTAGAATATTCTATTCAGTACCACAAGCTCGAAAAATAATTTATTCGTCTCAAACTCCTTACGACACAACACATGCCGAAATGCCATCACAAATTAATGTTGAACACGATCGTTGCTGATCAGCCAAAGCCATGACAAACCGCTCGTCAACTTTATGAATGTCAACAGTCTTTTCGCTACACGCACTCGACATTAAATTGTTTTCTTCTTCTTGCCATTTCTGTCGTCCACGTCGACCAGGAGTTTTTCTTCTCTTCCTTTCACGTTTCTTTCGTGTTGTATACATTTTAAACGCCATTGATTCACCGTAATAATGACATAACACAGAATCCACTTGATCTACTACCACACGCGGTTGATTCATATACGTCTGGGCTGGAATCGTACCCATCCGATCCACAGCTTTACTTCCTTCATCTTTTGGATTAATCAATGGAAGTTTTAAATATCGACAGATTGGATTACAACGGTGCGATCCTAGAAATCGTTGAAATCCTCGCAAAGCTAAATTACCTTTTCCAAATTCTTTGCCGCGTCTTGTGTGAATTTGAGGATCAGTATAATGATCACCAACGCCTTGAATATCCACAACGAGAATTTCTTGTCCTGAAGCTTCGTAAGTAAAATGGGAAAAGGCTTGTGGGGTATTGCGTTCAAAATCACTCACATATCCAAAATTATTATTGTGTTTGTGATACTCTCCAGCTATAAAGGGCTCGACTCCACAAATGGTCCCACTAAGTGTCAAATTTTCAATTACTTGATCACTTGCATCTACGGGAATTAGCTGAAGAATCCACGCATCGAGAAACTCCACGCGTCGTGGAGGATTGTACGAATTGTATAACTTGGCATACTTAGCAGCAACTGCTTGCATCTCAACATCTTTAAAATAGGTGTCGGGATTCTCGTTCGGATTGATAGCAATTTTTGCCACGTAACTTGTACATTTAGATAACATATTGTCTTCGTCAGTGTCACGTACTGTCAGAAGTGGAGGTAGCATACTTAGATCTTGCAAATGAAATACTTGCCGAAGACCACCACTACTAAATGGTTTAGTATCAATCTTCACTTGAATCTGTGATGATTTCCACTAGATCATATCATAAATTAGCAAGAGATAAACAAACCACTTGTGCTCTTGCTTTACCTTCCGTTCACTTGAGTCAAATATGTGTTTAATGGCACTGCGTTCTCGTAACAGTGAAAATTCAGGTGGTTCATGGTACAGTATTGGGAGCTCCCATGATAGCAAGTCGGATGTTTTTATGATCGCTACATCCAATACATATACAACTATTAGCAACAGTATATACACAATTAACAATGATTTCATTACTTTGATCAGCTTCGCTTAGTTCGTCGACAAGTTGCACACGACGATCCTTGTACTCCGTGACCGTAATGAAACCTTCTTGATATAATTTTAATAAATTGCGAAGTTTTCCAAGAGTTTGACTTTCACTTTCCACATTAAAGTCTGATGTAGACGCGAAATCATTACAGAACTCAGTGTGGTTTATTCGTGATGACCACAAACCAAAATAATTGTCATCACTTCGTTCTTTCCAATTTCCATGGTATAACGCCTGTAGATTGTCGACATCTTTTTCATCTATTTTCTGCTCCTCTTCTCCAAAACCATAGCGTACTCCACGTAATGGCACAAATGACGATGGAGCTCTTGAGCTTTTCGTAAAATTCTCAGAACAAGTTCGTCTCCTTAACGAAAATTCTACTGGATCATTCAAAGGAGGTTCAGGTTCATCTTCTCCATTTTCATTCATATGCTTAAATCGACTACTGTCATAAAATCCATTCCCATTAGAATTCCAATTATTGTCTTCTTGATGGTAAAGAGGTCGAAGTTTTAGCAAAGCTGATCGATTGCTTCGTAAAACAACGTCCGAACTGTGAAATCTTCGACGTGATGATAAATTCTCTTCCGTTTGATCAAATGTGATAGACCGCCAAGGATGTTTAAAGGTCGTTGATCGTAATGTTTGACCACTGGGAACAACAAAATTGGACGAAGAGGACGATACAGAGCGTGGAGAAAGCGATGGTACACGCACTTGTGAACTACGCGGGGATGTGACTGAGATGGATAATTTACTTTGCATTTTGGCGTTTTCACCGATGACTGGTAGTGCCATGGTGTCTATACGGCCTCTCGATCGACCGAATCAGAAATGGGGATGATTGGTAGGCATATTTGATGAGGACTATATTTTGGTCTTTGTGGGATGTAAACCGATACGAAAAAGAGTTAAGTTTGGGCTATTTCATGCACAGAAATCTTCAGTGTCTGGTATTTTATCCATCAGCATTTGGGCTTTTGTTACGGGTATACGAGATGTTAAGATCGTAATTTCTTAAAACCTGTGTACCCCTAACTCTATATGAGCAACACACACGTCAGTAATCTGAAGTGCTTAACTGGCTTGCGATCTTTGCACGAAACCGAAAAGTTAAAGTTCAATTTTTCTGCTTCGATGGCGAGCTTAGGTGTTTCATAATTCCGTACAGGTATCTAAGCAACTGGTTATACAACAATAAAATCCGATAATTAATAGCACTTAATTCCACAATCCTGTACAAATCAATTACTATATACTTCTGTAATTAAGCATCATCCTCCTAGCTAAAATGGCGAGACATTTGCAAACGTTCTCGGAGATTATCTAATTGTGCACTTGTGGTTGACGGACGCGACGTAGTGCTCGCTAAGCCACGATTTGCAGCAAAAGCGTGAAAAGATGTAAAGCTTCGGCCACGAGTTCCTCCAGCCAGTGCCGTTCCAGTCGATGACAGTGCCGCTGACGCTGTCCTGACCGATTGCGTCACACTACTGCTACCACGCGGCGGGAATAAGCGTCGTGTCAAGCTTTCCTCTGGTATAGTAGCTGCACCATTAGAGGCACTGCTGGCACCAAAATGGCTCGTGATTCGCGATGCACTTGATGACAAGCTGTTAGTGCCAATGCTAGCAATGCTAGTTTCTTTATGACGCAAGTTCGTAGACTCAGTTACTTCCTGCTCCTTCTTCTGGCCAACGCCCATATCTCTAAGTGCTTGACGAACCGGAGAAGTTGGCGGAATGTCCTTCATCGATGCTTCAAAAACGCTTGATCGTGTTTTAATTAGACTTTCCGCCATAATCTTCAAAGCCGAACGCATGTTATCATTAGCAATATCAACCATCATCACTTCCGCTCCAGGTAAGGTTGATAAAAACATGTGCATTTGCATAAGCACACCAAAAATGTCAATCCCTTCAAAAGGATTAAGCGAGTTGGCTTGAATTGTTGACAGCTTTAACAAAATTCGTCCCACGAGCTGATCAAGTGAGTCTTCCTTTAACAAATGCTTAAGCGTGTCATTTTTGTTGTAATCACCGACGTCATTGTGCATGAGACGTTGCAACAAGTTGATTACTGACGGATATACATCGCCGGGTTTTGCGCGCTCTGTTAAATTTCTCATTGCCTTGTAAAGCGCCTTAAAAACCATCAGGTACCGCTTCTCTTCGGGAGGAAGCATCGCAATTTCAGAAGCTGGCATATTCGCCTTTGACGCAAATTTCTCCATGCGTGGGTCCATTATCTTTGAGCACAACTCCAGCAACACGCGCTCTACAGTGAAGCGGTGCAAACTTGTTACGGCTTCGCTGTTAAAAACGACAGTCAGCGTGGTGATGCTGATTGCAAGAATATACATTTCCGGTCTCTTTTCCGCGTTGCCAGCGTAGAAGGCACCATGAATGCAGTCACATAAAGCCAAAACGATCTCGTTGACATATGAATGCAAAAACTCAATCTCAGATGGATCCGTAGGACGGTTAATAATCGCATACAACCCCTTCAATGCATTGCCGCCTTCCTTGTAGGCAGGAGATCCGGCCGGAATAACTTCCTTAGATGAGTTTATTAGACCCTCGATAGGTCGCAACAATAGCTCTTCGATTGCCGCGCCGTGTGATTCGTCGTCATCTGCCTCGCTAGCTGGTCTGCTCATGTCCACATCATCATCGACAGCGAGTTCCTGGGTTTCAGCGAGTTCCTGGGTTTCAGCGAGTTCCTGGGTTTCAGGCACAGAATTTGTCATTGTAGCTGGTACAGCAACAGCAGAAGCTCGTGCAAAGCCAAATCCTGTCCTTTGTTGAGAATTCTCTCGCTCAAATGTAATCTTTGGTCCAAGCGTGGAAGCAGCTACACTGGGCACACTGCTTACAGGCAAATGCTTCAAACGAGCAGTAAGCAAATCCATGCCCTGTTGCGTGGTAATTCCCGCGTACCGAAAAAACTTGTCAGGATTCGTGCCTTCCGTCCGAGTGTACACGCTCACAAGTAAACTAATAGCGCTTTCGCGAAGCTCCTTTTCGTGAGCAACGACATACTTGCTCACTTCCCTTACACACTTGCGGCCTATGACGTGATGCCCGTACACAGTGACAATGTATTCAACCAAGTCAATGCATTCGCATCTACTCTTCATATTTTTTGATCCATTGAAACAATCGATCAAGTATGGGACATATCGTTCCGGGCTGAATACGTCCACAACGAGCTTCATTACGTCACGAAAGCGAATGCGGAAGCGTGGCTTCGACTGACCACTTTCTTGAAGAAGATACGGTAACAAAATTGAAGCTTCGACGTCATCCAGCAGGTATCCAGCGCCTTTTAGCATCTGTAACAGTTTCACCAATACTTCTAGCAACTTTGCCAATGCCTGCACGTTATTGTCTACAATTCGAAGAGTGCACCATTTCAAAATGAGATCAAGTGACGATATCACTTCATCTTTCTGGTTGATTATACACAGCATCAGCTCATCCAGTGCAGCTAACATTCCTTTGTCCAAGGAAGGAGCAAACAACTTGGCATGAAATTCTGGTGACAAAAACGGTTTCCATTCGACCTCGATCTCATTTTTCCGTGACTTCATTTCACTCACGGATGTCGTTTCGAATATCCACTTGTTGAATTGGCCCTTGGACAATCGAGACGTTTTATTGGTACTCATTTTCAGTAATGGCACAGCCTTCGTTGCGTTTTCTGAAAGCGAGGAAGAGGACGTCAGTGAGGCCCGAATCGAAGAAGGACGTGCAATCCGCGATTTAATCGGTGTATTGCCAGATGCAGATGGACTAGCTCTTCTGCGCATCACACTACTATCCGCAGAGTTATGACCTGCAGATGATTTTGTAGTAGGGGTCGATGGCGTTGCTACAGCGACAGACACAGCATCGTCCATACTAGCTGTGTTTTCAACGGCATCAACCATTTCACACGCTTTTTGCAGTATCGGCTTCAGAGCACGCATGGCAGCTGGCTTAATGTCACGACATCCAATTGTCAACACAGTTTCCTTGCCGACGGATTTCATCACTTCCACAAGCAAAACTTGAGCTTTCTCACGCGCTTCAGAAGATTTGTCCATTATGCATTGCACAGTTGGAGCCACGAGGCAAGTCAAGTCGAGCTTGTCACAGTTTCGCAAATGTTCCACTGCCCATCCAAGCAGCTCAGCGCGTCCGACCGAATTTAAAAGTCCCTCCGACAGAGACGCCGTGAGGCTCTCCATGCAAGTAGACGAGGTTTTGTTGTTGTGGCGAACCCATCTATGAAGCGCTTGAATCGCGGCAGCTTGCATTGCCTTCTTATTGTCGGCCACTCCAGCGATCAAGCTCGCGCCAAGAATTTTTGACATTTTGGCAATGTCAGGTCCAACGCTTGATGCCACAACTCCAATCACGTTCGCAGCTTTCACCTTCAAATTCGCATTCGCATCGTTGAGCCGAATTTTCAAACTTCTAAGTACTTCTTGCACAGGTCGCGTGAACTCGATCGCATAGCCGGCACTTTCACACATGGCTTGGACACGATCCATCGCCTCTGCACGCTTCTTCCAAGCCACCTTGTCAGTCTCGTTTTTCATGTCGTCAAGTAAATCTTTGGTAATCTCGCTACTTATATCTTTCCGACCAAACAGCGCACCAGGGTCTGCCGCAGCAGGTACCTCTTCTTGACCCTTCACTTGGCGCTTCACGGTGCTCATTGCTTTTGATGGATCAAAGCCCACTCTTTGAAACTCTTCCTCTACGCTCTTGGCCAACGCTGGTTTCCAGCTGTCAAGATTCAAGATTGGAACTAGTGCAGGTCCAAGTTGCGAGTACATGGTACTAAGCAAAGATATTGCAGCTGTACGAACTTTGGGATTGGAAGCTTCAAGACCTTGAGGGCCTTTTACATAGTCGATAAGCGCCCGCGGATTGCACATCGATACTCCAAAATCTTTAACACAATCGGATAAGACCGACAAGGCTTCAAAATGTGCGAGCGGTAAGCGAACTTTTGGCATGTAGTCAATCATACAGCCCATAGTATATGATGGACCTGTCGCTTCACAAAACTGCATCATCATCGTTCGGATCGTCTCGTTTGCTTTCTTGTCGCCAATCTTTTCACACGCGCGAGGAGTAACAAGACATACAACACCCCGTGAGAACTTGCCAGCAACGCTTTCTGCAAAAGTTCCTACTGCTTGAAATGCACTCTTCAGTACATTGATGTTACTATCCTTGAAATCCTTCACTTGCTTTGAAAGATAAATAGTGAACGCCTCGATTATGCTCAAATTCATCGTGTTGGATTTCTCCTTGACGTACCCTTCAATTTCTTCAATCGCTTCTTTTCGTTCCATCCACTTGGAGCTAGCAAACCTTTCCTTAATTGTACACCAATTTTCAATTTGAAGTGCAGTAAGATGTTCCTCTGCTTCTTCTGCTGTGACAGAAATTGCCACAGGTGTAAAGTTAATGCTTGCACCTCCATTATTTGACATACCACTTCCTGGCCCAGAAGCTGGGGGTCTTTTTGTTGAGGCTGTATTTGATGCGGTGCTAAACTTTATTCCTGTCCGAGTTTGAGGTCCACGCTTTTTTAATAAAGGACGACGAGGGTCAACAGGAGCAGGTGCAGCGGCAGGAGTGCTCTCCATTTCTACGTCCATGTCCGGCTCAGATTTCCGAGATTCGATAAAACTAGAGCGACTTGCAGAACTTCCTGCGCTACCCGGGCGCGAAGGTGGACGGGAGGATGACGCACTCTCGGCCCGAGAAGATTGAGCACTATTCGGACGAGAAGAGACCGCGGAAGACACACCGCCGCTAAGACCTCGCTGAATTGTCTTGTGTGCTCGAGGATTCTTGCGCGCAATCTCGTCCATAATTATTTGTAGCCATCCAGCTGTTTGGTCAGTCGCTTGTAAAAGTTCAATAAAGTATTTTTGACCTGCTTCCCGCACCTTCGGATCTGTGTCATCGATGCCTTTCAGAAACATTCCCCCTAGTGACACGATTAGCGTCTTATCATTTAGATCTACATAGCGATTTTCCACAGCTCGAGCTATAAAAGCCATCGTTTGAACGCGGGCTGGTGGGGCCTTATTCTTTGTCGAATCGCATGCCAGCTTGAGCTCCTCCATCATCATCTCTATGGTCAAAGCATGCTGGAGAAACAAGTCTAATGCTCTATTGGTTGCACTCAAAATCAAAGCCTTTTTGTCTGAAAGTTTTCGCAAAAGTTCTGGAAACATGATCCGAGCATACTGCGTGAAATTTTTACGTAAGCCGTCGGCTAGCACACCAAGCACTTCGATAGACTTGGCTACAATGTTGACATTCGAGTCATTTGTCAGTGCTTTTAATGTCGACACAAGTTCATAGTAATCGCCATTTGCTAGTTTTGGAACGGGTCCGATCAGTTCCAGTACAATTTTCAGAGCCTCCACTTTTTCGCTCCACTTTGGTAGTGCTAATTTTTTCCTGAATTCCGACTTTGATAGCTTGACCAGCAAATCAACGGTCTCTACAAATTCTCGCGGGTCAAAAGCTGAAGAGGAATCAGCCAGGCTGATACCATTCATTGAATCCTGACGTCTCGATGATCCAGCAGCTGCTTTGATCGACTGAGCACCTCTGACGAACTTTGTGGGTACAACCTGGCCAGGTACAATGTCCTTTGTTTTTTCTTCAAATTCTGTCTGCTGCGCCTGTCGTAAATTAGCCAATATATCTTGAAGCAGAGCTGTACCAGTCCAGCGATGTATCTCCACCATCACACTCATCGCAATCGGACGTACTTTTACTGCCCCTTCCATCAATTTCGGTAACGCTGCTTTAATGGCTTGCAGCGGGACAACGCGTGGTCCATACTCCTTTAATGCATCAAGTATACATGTGGCACAAACTGGTGGTACTTTAGGCTTACGGTTCGTCGTTCCTTCCAATAAAGCCGTTACTGTCTTTTCAGCAGCACCTGCTGCAATGAATGCATCTGTAAGCTCCGTCCCAAGCTTTACGATGCCTGGTCGTGCTGAAAATCCTTTATCGATGACACGGGTCATCACTCCACTCACAATACCTTCATTAAAAGGCTCTACAGCTTGAGTATACGTCAGTACAGCAGCAATTCCTGCCTCCATAGCACTGGCATTCGTATCTTCACACATCTTTGGGAACAGATCTAAAACTACTTCTGCTTGTTTCGAATCAAATTCTGACTGCTCAAACAATGTCTTCAGTTCTTCATATCCTTCTTTCCGCACTTTCCAGTTCGTATCTGTCAGTTTTGGTAGTACAACGTCGATGCCAATTGTGTCATTTTGTTCATTATTGACTGTGGAACTATCAACCTCCATTTTAGAAAGCGACGATGCTTCAGGATCAGTCATGACAACATCGTCTGTCGAGGCAGCAATACTGATAGTCTGGACAATTGTTGGAGTCGGTGGTGGCCTCATTGTGGCTGTTAACGGTGGAGAATCAGCCTTAACTGTCGCCAATTGGGACGGGACAGGCGGTGAATGGGCAACGCCGCTAATTTTGGGCAGCGAAGCGATTGTATTGTGTTCTGTATCGTCGTCTTCACTATCTCCATACTTAATGTTAGATGAAATGGCCTTGGAAATGCTGATGAGAGACGCTACGTCAAAGTTTGCGCACATGCTACACTTGCAAGTGGCGTTCCGAAGGCATCGATCATCCATTTTGACAAATTCTTGATCGGAAAGGTATTAGAGATGATAAAAAAGGTTGTAGGCTGAGCTGAAAGTCTTTAAAGCGTCAGGAGTGTGCTGGTCAGCGCAAAGAGGTTGTGTCCTGACTGCGGACTCGAGTGTGCGCTTGTTGCGGTCCTTGCAAATTTAAAATTGTAGATTTTAAAATGAAAATGTGTGTTCGACCCGAACCAAGAGTGATTGTCGTACAATCGAATTACCCTAATGAAAAAGTCCTATTTTACTATTGAGCAGATATTTTGCTATTGAGCGGACATTGCCTCTACGAGAAATAAAAGGCAAGGGTGAGCCAAGGCGTAAGCGGCCACAGTACCAGGGTTATCTTGCCGAATTGCAACCTCCATGACCACACCGTGTTGCTGTTCTTCACACTAGGCTTCTTGTGATCACTGTTCAAGAGAACTACTCATTATCTTAAATTGAAACCAAAACTTCCTCAGACACTAAGAAAACACCAATATCCCTCAATGTACTTCGTGAGTGTACCAACCAGTGTCGAATCAAATGCAAAAGGTGAATTGTCAAAGGAGCTTATGTTCGGCCCTTCATTCGCAAGGTACTTGCAACTTCGAAATCGATATAAGACTTGTTATACTGCATGAATCCTTATTTTTATCAGTCTAGCAATAATTTCAATTGCGTCCGTAATAACTATCGTGTTACAAATAAAATCAGCGACCGTAGCCAGACCTGCCACGACATGGTCAAACTCGCATGACATATTTCATTTGTATTCAGCAATGTAATATCAATATCCCTACATGCCGCTAATGCTGTGTGCGCTGAGGCCCAATATCGCTTGCTTGTAGCAGGCACTTGAGTCACTGAGTCCCAGTCCTTGGTTAGGACGCCAGCAAGCTGGTCCACGCTTACGAGATGAAATCTCGTGCTATATTTCTTTAGACGTGACATGCTTGGATCTGGCGTTAATGTCTGTATTGATTGCAAGACGAATTGCACCCTAGTTATCATTCCAGACTGTAAGAAATACTCGACATCTTCAAGAATCGTGCGAACCCGAAGCACTTCTTGCGTGCACAGACTTGGAGCCATGCACTCCTTCCCGCCCATCCCTTCCGAACTCGATTCCACCGTACGCTAAATGAAACACCCGGAAATATGGTGCACCACCAATTATCGCCATTGTAGCACTAATCAGCGTTGTTTCTTTCCAAATTTTCGTTCGTGTATCTACCTCCCTGGCGCTACTACTCCTGAGTTACCTTTGCCATGGGAAATGGACTACATGAATCACAGTCATTCATTGCTGCTGCGATAGTCTTTGAATTGTGGCATCACGCGTACAATATCGGGACGCGAATATGTCATGATCTACAGCAACATCCTATCAAACATCTATATTGCTTCGACTGCATATCTGCTCTATGAACGTCTGCTGTCGGCGATTGAGCCTTCGACATCTACAGACCAGCTTTACACAGGTAGGCAACCGCCTTGGCGACTTGCTAATTGTACCGGATTGTCATGTCATTGATTTGCAAGGGCTGTCGAATCATAAGAGTGCTGCTAGTCAATTGATATTACAAGTATATACTTTTGATGGCTCTAAATCATTAAACTAGGATAGAGTCAGAGATGTTAGAAACATAACACATTTTTTATCGACCAGACTCTTGAGCCAAGGGAGATGAATCGATGGTACGCTTGCTTAATCCCTTTATTCCTCACAAACCGATCCACTTCTTGCTCGAAGTTAAAGCGTTAGCTTCGTCGACTTTTTTCCTTTGGCAGCTGCGCATTTCGCTAATCAACACAATGAGTTCCTCAAAAGATTTTTATAGCCGACCATATGCGTCGATCCGATCCACGGTGCTGACCCTCGATGACTTTCACATGCAAGTCATTTAGCACAATTTTGCTGACTTGTTGCTGTTCGCTTCCCGACTCCGTTCTGGATGTTATAGTAGTCGCCTAGTTTGATGTAGCTTTTAGTGTAAATTGGAATCAATCGCAATAAGCAATCGTGCAGACGCACTAGTAAAAAAACATATCCGTGGACAACCTGTTTGCGACCGTTGTCGGTCTCACAGTTAGTGTTAGGCTTACACCGCTGAATGCATGTGGGTGACGTCACATGGATTACTGCAGCGAGGCTGCCGTAGCTTTGCGCTTTGAGGAAGCGTAACTTAGGTCACCGACCTTTCGTTTCATACTTAAAACAAGTACGAGTTTAGCGGATCGCATTCCGCTTACTCCAAGAGTAATTATTGCCTTAACCCAAGGCTAATTAAATCTTCCGTTTAAATCCAAAACTGACTCGATTTATTTTTTATCTGCGGCAAAGCCGCCTAATTTTACATGTATAGATTTTCCTAAATATATAGTAAAATCTCATACATGCATAACTACTGGCTACCCAGCCACGTACCGTATTCTTATTTAGGTGTAGTCACCCCATGCTCATCTCGTGAGACACGCACACCTGTTACCAGGGTACGTGAAACCCCGTTACAATTACGGTCATGTTTACATTACTAACATGATTACGGATGCTGATAACGGACACATTGGTAGTCGTTCATTAGTATAGATAAATCAGATTACAGTGAGAAGCTTCTAGAAGGATTTGGAAGGACAGGCTGAGGGGCAGCAAACAGTTAGCGAACTAAGGACCTCAACATACTCACGTCGGTTTTTGCCATTTTCTCAACAGGGTAACAGTAGCAAACAAAGCCTCGCTTTGCCACGTCTTTACCGCCATGACTACGAAGCGCACTGAAGCCCTCCTAGTAGATGGTAACTACTACGATTGGGAGTTTAACATGACGATGGCCCTCGCAAGAAAAAGACTTCTGGGGCGCTTTATGGGCGCAAAGGATGAGAGCGAAATAACGGAGACGTGGCTCGTGAATGACGCCAAGGCATTGGGTATAATTGCCCAGGACGTCGAGATTCAACACCAGGCCTAGATTTGGTCTACTACTCGTGCCTTGGAGGCATGGAAAGCGCTTCACGCTTCCTACAATCGCTCGACTCTGCACAACCGTGTCACGATGACATGTCGCCTTAATGAGTTTAAAATAAAGAGTGGCACTCGCATGGCGGAACATCTGGATGCATTCGGCGGCTGGTAGTGAGACTCTTGACGACGGGAGAGCCGGTGAATGAATCAAGACAGCTAGTGATACTTTTGAGCAGCTTACCAACGAAATATGATCTTTTATCATGGAAGACGGCAAAGACATCACTCTGATCGAAGTTAAGGAGAAGCTGTTGAAGGAGTCAGACCGGTTACAGAAAAAGAAGCAAGCGAGAAAGCGTTTTGCGTCACAGGCAATGATGGATGGATCAAGGACAGGTGAGGAAGTTGTCGCAAGAATTACGATACGCGAGGGCAGCGATTTTCGGGGCAAGTTTTATAATGGTGATCAGACTGGTCATATGAGACGGGACTGCCCAGCTGTTCTAAAAACCGTTTCAGCGGTAATGATCTGCTGTGGGGAAGAAATCAGCTTATTGCTGATTGACAGTGGTGCGACGTCACACATGACCCCTCACCGAAGCGACTTGATCGACTTCAAGCAGATGGCAGGAAGTTATGCGTCGAAGGAGCTGGAACAGTGAAGCTTATCGGCTTAAAAGAAAGACGCATATCAAGGATGGAAGTGCTGCTTATTCCTGGACTTAGCAGACATTTACTGTCGGTGGGAAAGCTTGCCGACTGTGGACTAAGCGTGGAGTTTCAGCATGCTTCGTGCACCATTTGGATTATGAACTATGCTTGACAACTGGTACAAGAAATGGGAAAGCTTACGCACTGGACTGTCAGCAAGAAGGGGTACGATTGGTGCAATGCTCGGGAGCTGATAGTTAGTGGGAGCTGTGGCATGCTCGTATGGGACACCCAAGCGAGAATGCTTGAGTGAAGACTTTGTAAATCACAAAAGATATACCTGCGATAAAACAAGGTATCAAGCCCTTGTGCGGTGAATGCATGAAGGGCAAGCAAATGACTGAAGCCTTTCCAAAACGCCCCATGAAAACGACGTCACGTTTATTGGATGGAGTTCACACAGACGCGATGAGGCCTATGAAGACACTTTCAAAAGGCGATGCTCAGTATTTTTGACTTTTGTGGATGATTATTCGCGATATGTGATGGATTATTGTCTGGTGAAGAAGAGTGAAGTTGCCGACAAGATCAAGATGTTCAAAGTATTGTATGAAAATTAATGGGGTCCCGTGCCAGATGTCTGCGTTCGTGCAGCGGGTCGGAGTTTGTCGAAAAGACAGTTACATAGTTATGTCAGTGAAACGGCATCATACATCAGCGTTCGTTTTTTTATAGTCCCCAGCAAAACGATATTGCAGAACGAATGAATCGCACGATTATGGAAAGGGCACGGAGCATGCTACACTAAAAATGTGTTCCGACATGTTGGTGGGCAGAGGTAGTAAGCACGCGATCTGATCAACCGCTTCCCCAATACAGTGCCCCCAACCCAAACAATACTCCGTATGAGCTGGGATTTAACATGAAGCCTCGGATGGATCACCTTATGATTTTGTACTCATGAGTGTGCTCGCGTTGATCAAGTGAAATGGACGAAGCTCTAAGCCAAAATCTTTTGGTGTATGTCTCTTGGTTATGCCGAGAAAAACAAGATATCAGTATCAGGGTTGGTGAAGCTGGACGAGCGTGAAGTGATTTATGAGACGCACCTGCCCAAACAAGTAAATCACGTAACCAAGAACAACGATGAAAGCGCAGTGTTCGAGCAGACAAAATACCAACAATGCCAAGATGGTCATATGGAGTGTGAAGAAGTAGAAATTCCAGATGATCCAATGAATGAGGAGAAGTCCGACATAAATGAATCAAGGGTCGAAGTACTTCGAATACCAGCTTATGTACACTCTGAACTGACAGAGTATAGAGCTCCTACATTGAATGCACAGGAAGATCGATTGTTATTCCAACCGCAAGTGGAATGCTCAAGGCGTACACGCGAGCCGATATTGTGGTTGAAGTACGGATCAGTTGCCCCCAAAACGTTTGGAATGAAGCAAAGGATCACCATCTCTATAGCGAACAAGAATTGATGAACACGGCCTTATAGCTTAAGTTTTTTTGCTGACGCTGTAAGTGTTGGTGAAGAATCGGACTTGTCTACCACATATGCGCAGGCAATGGTTAGTGACGAAGCAGAACATTGGTGACAAGCGTTGGACTCCGAAGTACAATCGAATTGTCAGAACAGAACATGGGCACTCGTTTCACGAGAATCAGTTGGACGTACTACTGGATGCCGCTGGGTCCTTGCTAAGAAGCGTGACCAGAATGAATCTGTCGTGCGCTACAAAGCACGATTGGTGGTTAGAGGGTTTTAGCAGAAGTACGGCGTGGATTTCTTCGAGACTTACTCTCCAGCGGCCAACATGAACTCAATTCGAGTTGTACTCGCAGTGTGTGCAGTACTAGACTATAAAATGAAGCAGCTGGATGTCGACCCGCCTTACTCAACAATGTGCTTCTGGATCGTATTAAAGTGGTGGTTCCGATTGGTGTTAAGAGGGCTCAAGGGTTTGCGTGTCAACTGAACAAAGCTATATATGGACTCAAGCAAGCTGTAAGTGCTCAATCGATGTGACGGAAAAAGCAGTTTCATATCTGCAAACTGTGTGAACGCAGTTCAAGAATCGTTCAGCTTCATCAATGCCGGATACTTGATTACAGGTTAGCAGACTGTTTAGTTTTATTTCGTACGCTCATGCTCTACCTACAGAGTCAGTAAATAGTCCATTGTATAGTCTGAATAACATTTCCTTTGTTTTTTGTGTATTCAAAGGAAGTTTTCTTAATTAATTATTTTCGCCTAAAATTATGCTCTACCATTGAGCTATTTTTGTAATTCATTACTTTGTTATGAAAAAATAAAAATAATTCATCATAATTAATACATACCACTTATAATAACGCGTATACGACCATTTCATTACTCAGCTAAGAACGTCTTCAAGGAGGATCAATTCAAAGTTGTGGAGCAGATCAAAGCGCCTACGTGAAGAAAGTGAAAGAATGTTTTGTGTACTTGTGTTTAAATGTCGATAATAGCAGCAGCGCAATTCTAGAGGTCAAGGGGATGATAACAAGTGTTTTCAAGATGAAGGATTTCGGTATTTGCGAAGTTTATCTTTGACAAGGAGATCGACCACGACAGGAGAGCTTCCATAGTAATGATCAAGCGGACACGCTAGATTAGCGACGTGGCTGAGCGATTTGGACAGATAAACGCCTAGGACGTCGACAATCCATGTTCGTAGGTCTCAGCTGTCAACATCACAGTCTCCAAGTACACAATCTGAGCGCTCAAAGATGCGGTCAAGACCATACCGCTCACTAATTGGATGTCTGCTAAATACTACAGCTTGCACACGGACGAACATCGCATATGGAACGCCACAATTCTGGTACTACGCTACTTAAATTCGATATGTCATCACGGGATTACTCACCAAAAAAATGACTGGAAAGGTGATTGTTTAGGCTTTCTTAGATGCAGACAGCAACACTGATGACAAACGGTCTAAGTGTGTTGATTAATATTGGAATAGCTCGGGTTGTGTTCAAGACCAAGTATCAGAGAACCGTCGCACTAAGTTCCGCAGAAGCAGAGTATATAGCGCCAAGCTTGTGCGCACAATAAGTACTTTGGACGCGCGCAATGCTGAAGTACATGGGTCAAGAACAAGTGGGAGGCACGCAAACATGGGAAAACAATCTAGGTGCGATAGCTTTGGCAAACAATGCGGGTAATTACGCTCGTACAGAGCGCGTGGACATCAGACATCACTTTATCCAGGAGAACGTTCAGCATGAATTACTCATGACTGGCTACATCGATACGAAGAGTCAGCTTGCAGATATGTTAACAAAGGCACTAGGGGCCAAGATGCTCAACTTCTTGCGGAAGGCAACAGGCATCAAGACCAAGTCAACAACAAAGATCATTGAGCATTTGCGTTGAGTGGGAATGCATGTGGATGACGTCACAAGGTTTACGGTCATCTTTACAATTACTATCATGATTACAGATGCAGATTACGGACATAATGGTAGGCGTTCATTGATATCGATAAATAAGATTACATTATTTTAGAAGGATCTAGAAAGACAGGCTAAGAAATAGCACAGAGTTAGCGAACTGAGGACCTAAATATGTTTGCTTCGGTTTTTTTCATCTTCTCAACAGTTATACCACCCGGAATTCCCCCTAGATCATCTCTTTTGTGGTTTCCTCTGTTTTTCGTTTGCACTCCTGCATCAGTGTAGACTTTACTTTGACGAGCAATACGCCCTCTAAATTGCCCACTATAGAAAAAAACTCGTATTGTAAGGTTGGGCTTCTCAGAAAAATCACGATACTGGCTAAGATCATCAAGCGTCCCCGCCAGTGTCGGTAGTCGGATTGTTTTCTCCATGACGCTTTACAGGTGCACCGCATCATTCATTGTGTTCAAACAGAAGGGGCGGAATCACAATACTCGTCGAGCATCATAAGAATCACACAGCGTATTCACGCAAAAATTTATAACTAACGGCTGTAAATACGCAACAAATAAGGAAAGGGGTTGAGAAAACATTTCTAGCTAGATATATGGATAACTTTATAGACGAATGGTTTGGAGGTTTTTTATATTGCTTCTCGCCTTGAAAAATTGTCACGTGAGCACTTTTTACGTAGTTCTTGTCTAATCAATACTGCTTTTACCACCGTGGGAATGCAAGCAATCAACACAGCAGGAGTTGCAGGGTTCTGTTGTATCTTTTGGCGCTTGTAATCAGTTTTTAAACCCATCTCTTGTTTCATAAAAACTGTGTCTCGCAGTATGATGATACAATTGTCACCACCTTAGATCGATTGAGTAAACACAGCAATTCCTACACAGCAATTACTTTGGATGCCACAATGAGTTTCTTAATATTAAAGCCAACGGCGGCAAAATTAGGAACAATCGTCGCAACGCAAAACATTTGTGATTCTCAGAGAAACAGACACAGAATATAGAGACGTGTTCGATGGGCGATCATACGAATGATCAACTATCCAAGAATATCATTTACCAAGATCATCGATCATCGCGCATCGAATTTTCTCCTTCATCTAAAGCAGTCAGAGCAGTGCAAGTAAGGGTTTACTATAAATCATTAAGGGTACTTCTCCAAACATAAAGCTATGACCATGAACTCAAATTTTAGATAACTTAGTTGAATGCAAAACTTTTGTCGCCTCTCGAAATGCATGCGTTACGACAGCGAGAATACTCTGTTGTGGGCTTTGCCTGGCCTTCACAGGAAGATGCAATTGTGTAGTACACATCCTCACCTATCGTTTACAGTAAGGACAAAATAATTCCCATATGACCATTCATTCTTAGTCATTCTTAGACGTCTGACATCACAAGATCTCTGTCACAGCAGGATGGTTTTGCGGAGTATGCAATTATGGTGTACGTAGACATTACACTGTTGCCTCTCAGACTTAAAGCAAAATTCATTAATACCATAGTGACGTAGATGATGTGCCAATCAAGAAATATATGGGCTACTAGCCTCACACAATGCGTCATAATAGATTGATATGGCTACATATTGCAGAGCATAGACACGCTAGCCTGCTTGAGATTCAGATGATGCAACACTCTTGATTTGAGCAAGTGTCAGTACTATGTACCTGGTAGTCTCCGATCAAGCACCGTAAGGGCAGTTAGGGAGCCCATCCTTTGTGAATTTACAGATGTAAACTCGCAGAATCAATTTTTTTGCGTGGAGCGAGGTATTACGACTTAGTTGCGGCTCTAGCTCTTGTTCGACGACCGACATCAGAATAAGGTGGGGCAGAGCTTGATATATGGTACGGCGCGTTTAACAAATCTCTATTTTTAGCTGGCCTTGAGGGAATCGCGCACTTGTAGACTTAATAGTTAACAGCTCACTTCAAGGTATTCACAAGCTAATAACTTGTGCTGGTGAATCACCATGTCTGTGACAGCATAGCCAACGCCCAGATAAAGGCCACCACTGCTAAACATCAGGTCTTGAGAATAACGGCAGATAAATTCTCTCTCCGACGCGAGTGCTCAAGATGGTTAAACAAGTTCCATCCCGAGCAACAACGCGTCGCTTGCGGTCTCCAAACAGAGAGGATAATATATCCGAAGATGAGGCACCCCAGGATGGAAAGTGTTACGGCGACATATGTCGCGGGTGTTCGCACCTCATTATCAAGCTTTTCGTGTGTGATGGAATATCTCGTTCACCCCTCACAATAGATAAACATGAATGGGACTGTACCCAGGGCTGGAATCGCGGCGGACTCTCTGTCGGAAACAGACGTGCCCTCTATCTTTATAAAAAGCCTCCGTTCGTGTACATCTCGCCCCAAAATCTTTGACATTTAAGCTCTCTCCTTTAAGGAAGTGGAGGACGTAGCGCGGGAGGTAGAGGAACCAGAACTAGTCGATTTGGAAAGAAAGGAGTTATCTTTTTGCTTCCTTCTGGTACCGTAATGGCCGTAGGTGTTACATACCAGAACGCTTTTGTGCCTTCCTTCTCTCCCGACTGAGAAGTACGGAGGGTCATGCCCCGTGCTGGATCGATCGACGTCAAGTAAAACTTGAGCGTATTGCATATCGTGGAGGTAGCTAACACGAAAAACGCTCTCTTAGAAAGTGGCATTTTTGTATAGATAATGTTCACAGCCTAGCTTTAGTGTAGCAACCCGGGATTTTTGATGCCCTGGAAGTTCTGAGGTTGTCATATAATTTCGTGTTACACGTGTCGTTGTAAAAATACTTGGAGGAGTTGAAGTTGCCTAGTGCGATGCCAAAATCTAGCGGCTTGAGATAAGGACAATAATTTAAGTGCAAACGTTCCTTTAGATATCCCAATAAAGTCTGTGGACCTTGACGGCGTTAAACACTAAATGGTTCCTGATCTGGGTCTGAAACACGATATCATTCTAAAAAAAGCCTTGCTGGAGCGCCATGAGCCATGAATCGGAAAAATGTTGAAGACTTTCGGTGCCAGCACTTCGGGAGTCTCGAAGCCAACCCTGTTAAAAAGCGGAGGCGCTTCCAGCGGGCACGAACCATCAACACCATTGTCACAAGACGTCGTGTTAATTAAAATAGGTAGCCACGATATTGCTTAGAGTCTTGGGCAAAGCTTGGAAGGCAGAAGCGGCTGTGAGCCGCGGTCACAAGACGATACGAAAATTAGCGACCGTATGTCGTGGTCTCCAGGGTAGTTAGATATATTAGCTCTGAGATTGAATTTCTTAGAGATTACAACTAATGGGATGCATTCTGGCGGCTGTATTTAGCGATCCCCGGGCAAATCTTTGTGGATACATTTGAATTTAGTTACGAGATAAAAGGCCAGAAGTATGTGATGTTGTTGGTATGTATATTCCATCTTGTTCACAGTACGGTACAGCTGTATCAGCAACACCGAGTGACGTGCCCATTCGATGATTCTCGAGGTATTTTGGTCTGCAGGATCCTTCTTTTTTCAAGCAAGTAATCATAAAGCTCAATTGGGTCGCCATGTTCACCGCACAAAAGGTACATAGGGTGAGTCTGTACGCTCCACAAAGAAGCAAAACCAAAAGTTTCAATGAGACATGAAATAAATTCCGCTGCGACGTGTCTCCGCTGCCTTGTCGGGGACGCAGCAAACGTGCGCGAACTGCGCAACTCATGCAGAGAACGCTGAAAACCCCTTATCTTCGAGATTGCATCGTTGTGTGTTCCTTAAAATGTGCCTGGTCATTTTTCGGAAAGTCACTATGACCGTTCTTATTGGTAATCGCCTCAGCTGCCCCACCAAAACTATGAGTAAATCGATGGCCGCTGGGAGTAAATGCCGCTCCATCCGTTTAAGTGGCTTGTCGGCATAACAAGCTCGTATAGAAGCGGATCTCAATGAATTACGCTCGTAAGAGCAGGCACACAAATCTGCAAGTGGTAAAAAAATTCCGACGCAGTAAGTTGTGAAGCGCTCACTGTTGCGCAATGTCATGTACAGACAAAATAAATGTCACCCACTGTGGTGTGACAGAGGGTGTGGCGGGGATCGTCCCTTTCGTAAACTATAGATTATTATTATTACTGTCCCTCGAAATTAGAGCAACCAATGAGGAGGCCCCCGATGAGATACCATGAACAGCAGTGGTATGGATGAGAGTGACGGGACTTCAGAAAGAAGGGATTCATAGGACACGTGAGCTGCTAGCCCAACTCTACGCAGTACAGATACGTTTCTTGCTGTAGATGTATCGCAGGTATATCTAATCTCTGATAAATTAACTTAATTGCAGGTGTAAATACTTGCTCACCCTGGCTCAGTGGCCATTTGCACGCGCAAGAAATGCAACAACTTTTGCAGACGCACGCACGTGGTCATCATGAGCTCAGATCATCTGAAATGTAACCG